GGAGGGACGTTGGCTAATAGCACAATAATACACAGCTCTCTATGATAGCACTTTTCACCTTTGAAAGAAGGAAGGGACTAAGGTATGAACACACAGGGACAGCAGAAGGATGTCATCTGTGGAGTCACCCAGCAGTGCAGCAGTAAAACCCAAACCCAATTTCCCTATTCACATATCAGTGTTTGGAAGACTCAAGAAAAAGGACAGAAATTATGGAAGGGCTTATAATCTTCAGGACTCTCAACAAGTTATCTTTGAGCCCTTTAATTAAAGCCAGCCAGGAGATGGGAATGTTTTTCACAAAACATTTATTCACTTGTGGAAACAGTCTGGAAAACTATGTTTCTCAGTCACCTCGGCTCTGATGCTCGGTTTTCTCCAGGCAGCTATTCCTTCAGCTAAACCTGCCCATCTGCAGCATATACACTATACTCTGCTTTCTTTTCCCCGACATCAAGCCACAGAAAAGCACATGTGACTGCAGCAGAGGTAAAGACATTTTTTAACCAGGGCAATTTAAGGATATTTAACACACATTCTCATTTTCCATTTCCCAATTCCACAGTGCCCCCACTTTTATTATTAGCTGAATAAAGGGAAGCTTCAGCTTGGATCTGGGGTAACATGTACACTGAGGAATCGAGGCCAAGCTTTGCTTTGAAATATGCAGGATCATTCCTAACTAACCGTAAAGCTGCTTATTTGGCACTAGCAGTGGAAACATTGAACGAAAGGGGCATTCTCAATCTGCTTATGTCACAGAAAGGTTGGATTCTGACAACGTGCAAGGCTCCAAGCTGCAGCCTGATATTAATAGCTAGACATTAAACTCTCAATTTGGCTGGCTTAGAGGCAGCTCAATTGGAACAAAGATTTTTCTGCAGGAAACGGCAGATCTGGTTAGAGTCACATCACGAGAGATGAGTCTGAAGCAGCAGCAGACTGCAAACTTTTTTTGACTGCCGTGTGACGAGCCTGTGTCACACAAAGCGAAGCTTCCCTGCTCAAATCGCAGGGCACATCGGTGGTCCCACAACTCAACTGCTGTTGAAACACAATTGTTGCAAATGTATTGCACACACAGGCAAATTTTTTGCCTTCTGTCCACCTCCTCTTGAATTCCTTCCTTCTAAGGGCTAACTTACACAACCGAGTGGGGCAATGAGTATTAACAAACTATTTCTTAAACAAATGAGGTTCTATTTCTTGACGCAGCCAGTGGGGTATCACCCCACAAAGACATACCTACATATTTTCACCATTTTTGAGCTTGTTTCAGCCATTATGTAACCTTCCACACTACCTTGGCAGCTAGGCCAAGAAAATTTGAACCAAGTCCCCAGAGCAACTGGTTTCAGTGAGGGGCCCCTGCCAGAACACAAATACAAACCTCCTGCTGCTGTTTTCTTTCTGTGTCTGCATGGCAGGCAAAGATTCCAGACAGGTTTTTCAATATGGATCTTTTTGAGCACAAATGAACACCTCTTATAAGCCATATAAACTTCATAATCCCACTTCCGAACAACAGCTGGGCCTCAATACTTCCACCAGGGAAAATTTTACTTTCATATTTCTAACAATGTAAAGAAAATCAAGGCACTGTCACTAAAAAACCCATTAACTACAGCACTTATTTCAGTACACTTAATCTAATGGATTCTTTATAGTCTCTTAAACATGACTAAGCAACATCAGATTCTGGACTTGTATTGCATCATATACTCAAGGACATCACACTGCTTTATATGAGAACTTCTTAAGCCGTGCAATCTCCCATAGCTTTGCACTCAAAATCCTCATTTCACAGAGGTAGACAGAAGCATTCAGAGTGTGACTTGCCAAATGTCACACAATGAGTCAATGCCAGAGCTGGGAATAGAAATCAGGAGTCTAGAGTCCAGATTCTCTGCCTTTTATAGAGCAGTAGCCTCAGTCTCCTAGTTTAGGAGAGTGCCTGCGCACCACAAAGATATTTCTTCCTTTACAGGATGGCAGTGTAGTACCACACTGCAATGGCCAACTTCATCCATAAGCAGGTATAAAAACATATATGCATCTGCTGAGACTGTGTTTTACATATATAAAAGCAAAGTATAAAGCAAGAAATGAAAGCAAGTTGCTGTTAGAGAGAGTTTTGGGGAGCGCTATAACCTTAGCATCACTGTCAGGACCAAAGGCGGTGTCACTTTTTGGGCTAGATTCTTGCTTTTGCAGGCAGTATTGATGATTTGGAGGGACTACCTGTGGGAGCTGGAGTGAGGAATAGGAACTTGGCAACAATAGAGACTCTGAAACATCAATTACTCGATTCTTCATAAGCCAGTAGAGTATACCAATAGACATCAGCCTACTTCAATTGTTGCAATTATATTAAGTCCAACTAAGAGTCATACTACATTGCTATTTTTATAACCCATATATATATGTGTGTATTTATATATATATACACACACACACAGAGGACATGGAATGGTGGCTGTTAAAACCTATTGCTCTGCGATTGACACCTATTTTTCCCTAGTCTGACCAAGGAGGAAAACTGAAGAATCCTTCACACAGTTAAAATTTAGTACTGCTAACACTAACCACTTTATCAAACCATGCCACAGAAGTATATTCCTTAAATCATTCTTTCTCTGCTGTGACACATATGCAAATGACACCAGGCCAAATTCCCTTCTGGTCTAACATCTGTAATATGAATGGATTACATATGGATTAACTTTCATCAGTAAAGAAAAATCACATATCACCAATACAATACCTTTGGCAGAGAAAGGGAAATGAAGTTAATATAGTGCTATACCCATGAAGGCAGAGAAAATGAACTCTATGTAAATCACAAATATCTGATATATTCAGGGATCAGACACATTGTCCATAATTATCAGATACTGTCCTGTGGGTTTAGGACACACATAAGGACTCAGAAACATGAAATATCTGTTTAATGGATAGGAATCCATCAAAATCCAGCATTCTCCATTTTTGATATTGCAACATGTCCTTAGCAAGCTGATGACCAGAGGAACTGGTTATCTTCTTCAGGCTCTATCTCCAGTTATTAAGCATAAAAGGTATTTTTCAAGGCAGGGACAGATGAGATATCACTGTGTGGTGTAACTTGGGTGGACTTCCTTGCAGCCCTGAAGGAATAGTTCCTCATTTTACAGTTTTGAATAAAATGTTCAAAATATGTTCCCAGTATATACACCACAGAGATAAGGGCCTACATTTGTAGATGATCTGAGACGACTGCAGTAACTCAACAATTTGGGTATAGGCAGTAGTGCTTGAAAATTGATGTTATCAAAATATTTGCTTATTTCAACAGTATTTAAGAAAAGATGGTATCATATGATGGAGGATATTATCTGTACTTAGAGACATGGCACACTGCCTCTGGCAGTTCTGTTATCTTCGGATAACAGAAACAGTGGAGCACAGAAAACGCATAAGTGAAGATGCTAGTGCTTTGCTGCCATATAATGAAACTGTCAGGGGAGAAGGAAGGAAGAGGAATTCAGGAGAGCAAAGAGGCCAGACTGGTTTTGTCCCAGGAACCTTCTAAATATCTTGGAAAAACTATGCTAGAAAGAGTAACAAAATCCACTTTCTCCACTGAAGCCACAGCCTGCAGCAAGTCGCAGTGCAAGAAAGTATTTGGGTATTATAGGAACAGAAAAGAAGTCATAAAAATATTTCCTTAGTCATGCTGTCTATGGTAATATCATTCCCTGAATAGAGATCTTCAACAATACTGTCTTTAAAAATGGAAAGAGCTCTGACCTTAGACAGCATGTGTCTTCCATCAGCTTTGCTTTATTTTTTTCCCCCTACTCCTTTATTGTATCTTACTACAGTCATCTCCAGATGCAGGTACACATAAAAACCTCCCTCAGTGGAAGCGTGTTTTCCATTGGACACAGAATAAACACATTTTGAGGGATTCCCACTGGAAAGAAAACTTGGACGTAGAGGCCAGTCCTGCTCATGCTTAAAACAAAATGTATGTATTTTTCAGCTTTTTTTTTTCCAGTCCTTTCACTTGATCAGTCCACAAAACAGAGAGGGAAAGGCCTGCATTCTGAGGTGAGACTTCTGTAGGTAGTCTCAGAGCTCCCACAGGGTACTTTCCCCCATGCTCTTCATCACCCACTGTCATCATCATAGTGAATCCTAGTCTGTGAGCATCTCTCTAAGCACTGGAGTGTAAGATCAGCTGAAAATCAGGATCCATTCCAAGCTTACATAGAATGTAGGATAAGGGGCCACTTGACTTTGAGGCAAGTCTTAAAAAAAAAAAAAATCATGCAAACATCATAGAGAAGATGTTGAGCTATGCTTCCAAACACTGCTGCTACTATGGTAATTAAAAAAAAAATATCAAAGGAACAGATACAGTGAAGGTTACTGCTACCTAACTTAAATAAATAAATAAACAAACAAAGTATTTAAAGTGTAGGATGTAAGGACCCTGTGTAGCCAGGGTTTGGTTACGATTAAAGGCAGTTAGGAAGTAGGAGGAGTAGGAGGCAGAAGAGAAGATTTAACTTGGCTTTCCTACAATAAGGTATTCTTCTCTGGTGTCTGAGTGCCAGTTTGATCTGGGAGTATTACACAGGTTCTTACAATTGGAAACACATTCATTAGTTAGCAAATTCCTGGTTTAGGTGAGAGAGCACTGAAAGGAGCATTATACAGACACAGCAAAAAACAGTTTCTTAATCTCCAAATAGCTAATTCTACATCCGCTCTAAAGAAGTAGAAATACTTGACATTACTTCCTGAACTCAGAGACTTCAAGTGCTTAGAAGGGGTTAATATTTAATGGCTTATTTATAGTTCATATCCTGCTCAACTAGTCCCTATTTGCATCACAGAGGTATACAGAATAGCAAAATCAACACTACAGCAAACCAAAGGATGAAAGATTGCCCAGAAAGCTCCTCTTAGAAGAGCTGGCTGTCAAAATACTCTCCCCTACTTCTTTGACTTACCCACAGTGTCACAAGGCTCGTCTTTGTGTACGCAGAAATCTGTCCTAGAAAGAAAAACAGAACAAAAGTGAAATATATCCTGTGCCTCCCGACTTCAGGCAAGGAAAAAGCAGAGATGCATGACTCACATATCATGGGTGTTGAGGTTTGGGTTGTTTTTAAAACTACTGTGCAGTCTACATGATGACAACACAGATAACAGCATTGATTGCTACCTCAAGATTACAACCAATTATGTGAATCAGCTCCATACTTAACTGTCCAATTTAATAGACTTAAGATTTAGCACGTGTCCTGCCTCACTCTACAATGTCAGACTTCTTCAGCAACTGGATTAAAACAGAACCTCTTCTTTTCACCAAAGAATTGTAACAAAAAGGAGCAGACACCCTGTGATATCACAGCACCGTCAAAAGTGGGAGGAGGAGATATGGGGGGGCACACTGCCTGGAGACACAGAGCTGATCATGTCTACCCACAAATTCTCAGCTCTTCCATTTTTTTCTTCTTCCACAGAAATAGAAAAAGACAAGAAAGAAGCAAGACTAAACAGAGCAAGACAGATGTTGAAAAGGAAGAAAGAGAATTTCAGGATTTGCCAGGTAACAACAGCTAGGTGAATTGGCTTCAGCTAAACTTACTACAGTCAGATTTGCTACCTTATTATTTGAATCCAACACAGAGGTTTAAAAGACTTCATTTAGTCTCTGTTACTCCCCCACATCTCATGCAGTCTCCCCAGATCTCATCAAGGCAGGAAGAGATACTACGTATGCTACTGGCACCCACAAATCAACCAGGGATCCATGGAGCTGTATTAAACAGAAACGCAGTAAAAGGCCTTGAAGCTCACCATCTCAGTGCTGACATTTCATGTTGAGATTTTGTAACTCAGATTCCTCATGACAGAAAAACAAGTGTGGGAGGAGAAGTATTTTATAACTAAATTAATGGTTTGAATACATTTCAATAAGCACTTAAGACCTATACTTTAGGAACTATCTTCACCAGACCTGCTTTGCAGTGCTATCCATTATGAAGAAGAGCTGGAGAAAAACATCACATGTGCTAAAACATTTCAGCAGGAACAAAAGTTCCTTAACCCAAGGGAAGCTGAGGAACCATAATCTCTATCATTATGGCTTTCCTCACCCTGTGGGGAGGCTACTGAGAGAATCATATTAGTACATTTGAAGTGTGTCATTTGAAATGCCTGAGTCCCTGGTGGGATTTTGAGTTTAAGAGTTTGGCAGGGGGAAGATTAAAAATACTTCGAGAAAGATAATACTTAGAAAAAGAAAATACTTAGAGAAACATAATATTTAGAAAAAGAAAATGCTTCGAGAAAGATTAAAAAAACTTCCTTCTTCAAGAAAAATATGAAATTAGGGTTTACAGGAAAAGGAATTTAAGGCCCAGCACTGTGGCTGATGAACCCAAACCCTTCACACCAAGCTCCTTTATAAGTTGCAAATCAAGTTGTCAAGAGCTTGGAAGGAAAGAAAGAGCTATTACCAGCTCTTGTTAAGCAGGCATTGAAAACTAACCATGCTTTAATGCAGAAAAAGCATAACAAAGTGTTAAAAATTCAGATAGAAAGAAAAGAAAATCGGAAGCTACAAACACACATCAGCCCCAGCTTTCATTTTTCACCGCAGCCTTACTGTGTCTCGACACCTTGGCATTCCAGCCTTTCCAAAGAAGACTAATGACAGTCTCCTGACGGAGCTGGCACAAGCGCGCCTGCTTGAGTTCCCAGAGCCAGCTTGACGGAGGTTTATTTAAGGACTTATTATGTTATATAAACTGGTAAATCAAACAGATGCTTTTCTTGTGACAACAGATAGCTGAACTATTAGCAGATGGCAGGAGGCCATTGCTAGAAAAGCATCTTTCTTCAGGGGCTGGCCAGCTCTGCAAATAAAGCACAGCAATGTTGCTCCTTGCACTCTGTGTTCTACACTGAAAGGTGTCTGGCACTTTCAGGCAGCTCCCTGGAGGAATTACCACCATGTTAGAAAATAAAGGGTCCTGCAAACGAGCCAGCACAACTTGCACACTGTCCTGCAGAGGTAGAACAATCCTTGTCTGTAAGGAGAGTGCTGTGATGCTGTCTGGTCAGGGAAGGACTTGAAACAGGTCAGCAAGAACTGAACACAGCTGCCCAATTCACACCATGTGGGCCTGCAAGTATGAAACCTCCTCAGCCCATCTTTTAAACTGTCATAAACACAAGTCCAAGAGACACCTTCCTTCTATTCAAAGATCTTGTACCAAAATGCTGGGCTTTAAATCATCCAGACCTATTGTAAACATTTCACTCCCAAATTCTGTGGCCAAACAGAAAAGCACATCCAAACCTTTAGTCACAAATGAGTTTGGTGGGTCTCAGTCATCTTCCAAAGCCACGAAGCCACCCCATCACAAAACCAGTATACTGAAACTCCCATGGTCCTTTCCTGGCAATCAGCAGGGAGCCAAAGGCTGAAAAGCCATTAAGAAAGATCTGTCTCACCTGTGGACCAGTCACACCTGTGAGGTAAGATGGCCCCATCATGGCACTGAAACTGATCTGCTTTTAAAAAGATTTCAATCACAGGTCTCTCTCTGGAGCATTTTTGAGCTTGACTGCATCTATATTTTTGAAGTGAGAGTTTGACATGAATTATACTATAATGATACTTCATGGATATAAAAAAAGATATCCTAATATACATTGCAGGTGCAGAGGTCTCTTATCACATAGACAGAATTTTGTTAGCAGAAGCTTTTATAGAGCTATGTTGGAATAAAACTCTTACTCCAAGATCTGACCTTATCACACTAAGTCTTGGATAATATACTGAAACCACACGCCGTAGCTGTGAAGCAAATTTACCCTTCACTTTTAGCCACTGACTGAATCAAGCAGGACATTTATTCTCATCTTCCAGGGACCTGTGAAATTCTTGGTCATTATCACTTGTGGTACTGTGCAGAGTGTTCCCATTAGCAGATCATCTTCCAGGGACCTGTGAAATTCTTGGTCGTTATCACTTGTGGTACTGTGCAGTGTTCCCATTAGCAGACTTAAACAATTCTTCTAAAAAAATTGACAACAAGTCAGTTGTTTTGTTCAATGAAAATAGCCAGCAAAGAAGAGGTCAGGAGGACTCCTACAGCCACTCTTCCATCTGGCTTACACAAACTGGAAAAAAATACCTAACTGTGCTAAGCTAAATTCTGCAATTCAAGTCCTTCCTGTAAGAAAGAAGGACAGTAGTTGAAGTGTACAACATGAATAAGAAGTATTCTGTTTAATGCCCACCTCCCAGCATCCTTCAAATGACATCTTTTGACCAGTTTAACCCCACAGAGTCATAAAGCTAACTGTGCCAGAGGAAACTGGCACAGTCAAAGATCTGCCAAAAAAACCCCCTTTCCCCATCCGTATATATGTTTAATAGCACTATGTGCCCAGTTTCCTCGATGCACATTGAATTGCTTCATTTGCCCATTTAACATAGAGGCAAAGAGCTGGAGAAATATGGAAGGGAGGAGCAGGCTGCAAATGGAATAACTACACCAGTGTGTCAGGAAGAAAACAAATCTTTACTTAACGACAGCTCTCAATTCTGTTCCTATCAGTGTTGTGTCTTCTTCACCCTGCTGTCAGATTGCATATAATCTAATAAGTGACCCAAACACCTACAGCCAGGAGGTGGAGAGAACATCAGAATGTCTGAAGATTTCCTAGGGAATGCAAAAGACAGAAGATCAAGAGAGGGAATGTGTTTCAAATGAGACATGCTTCTAAGATCACTAAGACACAGATTCTGCAGACAGAAGTTGTTCTGGTCAGCTGCCCATTGAAATCTGAAGTACGTTATCCATAGATGCCAGAGATCTGAATTTCTGCAAGTTCAAGAACAGAATTTGAACAAGAAAAACCTGATGATTATAGAGACCACAACACTATACTTAGACCTTTAGGGCTACAGCAGATTATTCCCAGTGTCTCATTGATATACTGAACTGGACAATGGTACCTCATATTTCACAGACATAGTATGCCTCTTACCTGGAACTCAATTGGATGGGTACTATTAAAATCCCACAGGATTAACCTAGGTAATCTATTTTTGCATACAACTGAGTATACGGGGAACATCAGTTAGAGGTGAAGTTTCAAAAGGCAAGCGAGCATTGGTGTTTCAAATTAACACAGCCAGATTGGAACCAGAGGGATTTCTTCAGAGGTTGACCCCAAAGAATCTGTTTCTAGTCCTAAAGCAGCTGCAGCTGCTGAAAATTCAGCTTCTGCTTTTTCTGGCACAATTGCTTGTGCTGGACATGCTGTTGCTCCCATATCCTCTACCACTGGTCCATCTGTACAGTCTGGGGAGGGTCCAGGGACACACACAAACACTTCCAAAGCCAAGAGTAGAAAACCTCATTTTCCTGACACAGAAATTGGGCTGCTGGGCCAGAAGTCTCCTAAACAATGTGGCATCCTCTATGCAGCAGAAGCAGGATGGGTTAAGGATGACAAGACACAGCAAGTAGGAAGGAAAAAGACTACATGTACCTTGGGGTCAACCACTGCTGGAGTATCAAACAGGAAAAATGCTGCTCTTATGCACAGTAACATGTTCCCTGGCCTGAAGTTTCTTATAAAATCTGAATCTAGTTTCTAACCCAACCAAACCTGTACTGAACCAGCTATTCTGACTGCAAACCCCTGCAAATCTATTGAACAATTCTTCCTACAAATTCTTTTTACCATTCTTCCTCAGATGCCTGAGTCCAACTCATTTAGCCTGACATTATGCATTCAATATCATAAGCTGCAGAGAGACTGCACAGACGAAATGTTCTGCTCATTCCCTCCGCCCCATGCTTAGAGCACATCAGAAGAGATTCTGTATGCCTCACTTGTCATGCAGGACAACTGGATGCCCAGATGAGTTTAACAAAAATGTTAGTTATTTATTTAGGCCCTGATCCAGTGAAGCACATGCTTAACTATAACCAGGATGTGCAGCCCATTGACTTCAAAGGAACTATTCACCCTGTCTAAAATGTTAAATATCTGCTTAAGTGCTTGGTTGGACTACAGTGAATACAGAGGAGAGAGAAGGATTTGGGGGAACTGCACACATGTCTGTGAAGGTGCATTCTTAGAAACTTTGCTGGCCCCATGCCCTTCTCACCAGCTATTTTAGTGAACACTCACCAAAATCCCATGGGTAGTTTGCAATGTGACGATTTACACAACAGATTATTACAATCAGAATGGCAGTTAATGCAAAATCATGTATTTCTACTTACATTGTTGTCCAAGAAAAAAAGGTGAAAGATGTGAGTAATATTGAACTGCAGTGCAGACATTTCCTGTCTCAAACTGGGGAAGGAGGTAGGAAGTGGTGTTTTTCTAGCACGTACAGCATCCATCTTACACTATATTTTTGTGCTCAGTTTAATTATTCAGAGATCACTTCTATAACAATGCATTCTTCATTTGCATCTTAAAGTATGCAATCAACTTAAAAGACCATGGATTTGCTGCTCCAAAGCCTCACCCATTTCTTCCATTTATACCAGCTGGTGTTAGAAAAAAGTATCAGCTGTGCTACAGCCATATCTTGCCTGTATCCTGACTACGACAACGCTCTGGTTCAGGAGGAGAGATGCTTTTGCACAACCTTGTTAAGTATACACAGAAACAAGACAAATCACTTTCATAGGAGTCATCAGAGCCATCCGAAGAGCATGGAGGTAGCAAATGTATCATCATCAACAGATCTTTTTCTTGGATTACTGCTAGACCAGACAACCCAATCATTGACTGTGGGCCATTATAGGTTGAAGTAAACTGATAAACCAGACCTCACTATACCTGGTTACAAAAACAGCAGCATCCACAGGAGGGGTGTCATCCCTCGCACCAGGAACCTGGTTGTTACCAAGGTATTTTGCCCCACCATATTCTTCATTTTGCCATTGACAAAAGCTCTCCAGAGATCTTTCTCCATGATGGCCAATAGACAGCTTTGCCTTTGGGAAAAAAAAAAAAAGGATACAAAAGAAATATCAGTCACAGTCTTTACATAAAGCATTAGACCTCTGATGAAATACCACAGGCTCAAATATATAGATGTGATAGAATAAAAAACGCAAAACCAGCTTCATCTGAGCAGGTAAACTAGGGACTTTGGAATCTGCACTGACTTCTGCCATTTGATCTACAGAGCAAACTCCATCAGCTGGCAGCAGTCATAAGCTTCCAATACAGCACTACATTCAAAAGTTTTGTAAGTCTGGGAGGTATGTATTCGATACCAGAGCCATAAAATTTTTAATCTTTGTACCAATTAACACCTGAGACTGGTTTGCAACTATAAGTGGACAAAGATTTACCAGGAAGCGTAAGTAAAAGAATTGGAGCTCCCACAGCCCCTTGTACTTCCCACCTTTAATACTGCCTTGTGTAGTGTGGTGTGCACCCCTTACAATTTGTGATCATGGGGCCAGACATGCCCCACTGTCCCCCCACTCCAGCACAAGGATCCTGCTCTGCCTGTGAAACTACCACAGCACAATCATAGCAGCAAGGTAAAAACAAGTTAGAACTCACAGGACGGTTGCGGAGCAGGACTAGTTTGGTCACTCGAATGCTGACTTTAATTCCAAGACTTTGATGTTGAAACATGTTGTACACCTGTTAAAACGCAAAGAAAACATCCACAGTATATCAGTAACAATACCAAAACCTAGTAAGAGTTGAATTGACTAATTACGACTAAAGTTAGACATTTAGCCATCCAAAAAATTACCCAAAACAATCCCGAATGGGTTGGGCTACTACACTCAATAAACCATAGAAATTTTAAAAGCTACTATTGCCACTCTAACAGTTCCACATACTAAGCCAAGTAGTGTAGCTAAGATGCTTGTGATACCACAGCAGGTTTGCTCCTGGTACTGCATTTGGCTTCACTACCTGACCAATTTGTCACAGACTAATCTAAGCAAGATTCAGCATTCAAGGCAAAAAACATTAAAAAACAAAACAAAACAAAATGTACACAAGCTCGTTGCAGAAAGAAAAATCCTTTCAAATGGAATTAACAAGAGGAAAAGGGCTGCTGAGCAACAAAGGAAGGGAGAGAAATATTCCAAATGATCTGTAAGTATAAACCAAAGTCTCAGGAACATGGACATACGTTATGAAGCATCCAACTAATATGGATCTTCAGCATTTAAATATCAGAGATATCTGAATGCAAGATGAAATAATGGTGTGTTTTAGACTTCAGGAAATAGAATGGAAAAGCAATTTCCCTCTGTTATTTTCATATCTTATATAAGAGAATAGTAATAAGGCAGCACATAATGACACAAGCCTCAGGAAATACAAAAATAGCACCGGAAACTACCTTACTACTTTCTCCAGATTTTGCATTCCAGTTCAGATACTTCACCTCATTTTTATAGGTTAGAACATAAGATCTTAATTGATGCCAGAATTTTATTCCACCTGTTTTTCCATGTACAAATCCTTTAACTAGACTATATCAAAAAAGGTGAGGGCGGGGTTTATTTTTAAAAAGGTTTAGAATACGCCATTATAACCTTTGGATGAATATTGTATTCCCTACTCAGTCAAAAAAATAAAATCAATATCACTGAAGAGACTACCATGAGGCAGGATTTGGCCTCAGGTAAGCTATACTCCTCACTCACATCTCGTTTGGCTAGAAATATCACACAGGCTCAGCTAACTTCCTACAACAAACCCAAGACATGAACACATTTCGGATATTATGTTTTCAACGCTTGGTATTTTTCCTATTTGTGCAAATACTCAGGAATGTGCCCAGTGTAAGAGTGTTCTTAAGCTCTTTAGTGTTTGGAGTTGGATTTAAGCACACACGTAAATGTTTCCTATAATTTAGGCACAGATTGCAAGACAGACGCTACTCAGTATTTGACCCACTGACCTGCAGCATGAGCACAATAAGCCATTTATCTTCCCTGCGGCTGGTGTACAAATGCATACAAGTGCTGGTACTATTTGCTTAGCTCGGGGGTATGTTGGTAGAGTAGCTAAGGCCTCTCACTACAGACCTGGGGGGATAAACTTGACACTTGCAGAGAAGGGCTCTGACAGTTGACCTATGTGTAAATGGAGACCTGGACATTCAGCTGAGAGGGTCAATGGGGCATCATGCTCATCAAGTCAGTCTCTCATGTACCACTACAGAGGCTAAAAACATTTGCCTGTGATGGATGCCTTTGATTTGCCTGGCTCACTGCTAGCTCTGACCATTCATTAAAGTTCCTACTCGTAAAATGAGAGTACAGCAAACAGGTTCTTATCATTAAGCCTAATGGATAAAGATGCTTGCCCTTCCATCAGAGGAGACAAGCTGCCTACCTCCAGACCCAGCACAGACTGAAACAAACACCACTTCAAAAGGTAGTTTGCACTGATAAAACATGCACAGCAAGAACCAGCTGCTGGAGAGTTTAGCTGTCAGCCCCTCTTCCTTTTCTCTTGTGCTCCCCAAGCACAAGAGAAATAACTTCGACTGCATTTGTATTTGCATCCATCAGTGATCTCAGAAGAGCCCAACCTAGCTAGCAGCAGCAACAACTGGATTCCAAACAAAAAAGACACCAGGCGTGCAAAAGAGGCTTTACTTTGCTTGTTTATTCAAGCTTTGTTTGCTTATTCTCTTAAATGGAGCCCAAAGAAGCCCCAGATTGATGGTAGTTTGTGTTGCCTAGTAGGAACAATAACCTTTCCCTCTGCTAAATAAGCCTGACTGGTACAAGTGGCTGTTCTACTTCAGCACAACTGAAGCATTCAAACACAATCCACCTGGAGAAGAGACAGACCCTTTCTCATCAGAGATGTGCTCCAGCTAGCTCTGCTTCCATCCCCCACTCTGAATGCCTCAGAGGCTGAACCAGACTTCTGAGTCCAGGAGCTCTTGACTGCATTAAAAGGGAGACACTTGCTTCAATGCAGTCAGACTGGTTCCTTTGCACCGAAATCAGTACTTTAATGTGTGTACAGGTAAACACACTGTAACTTGCCTGACACCACAATGCTGGCCAACTGGACTCTGATAAGGACAGGATGCTATTATCACTGCAGCACAAATCCAGGTGTATCAGCAAGAAATGTTTTAGGATAGACAGTGTGCAGAATTTTGAAGATGTGGTGCAAACACAAGTGACAATGCATATTCTGGCCATGCTTAGGAGTTGTTTAACTCCAAGGATGAATCATCTCTAAGTAGATGATTTATTACTGGCAAAAGGCAAGAAAATATGATAGCTAACAATACCCACATATTGGGTAAATAATTTCTTAATGAAGTTTCAAAAATTTTCCTCAGAGATGGATAGACAGTTCCCAGAGCAACAGTAATTTTTTGTTTGTTTTGTTTCATACAACTCTGCATTGTTTCTCAGGATTTAAAGTATGATCATAAGCTCAGCTGACAAAGACATTAGCACTGTGATTTAAGATGGTCCAGCACCAGAACTGCAGGACACTGTCAAAATACCATATTTGTAATTTCCAATCTTCTTTCATGAACAAAGTTGAAGAGTGGAGAGACATCTCCAGCTTCATCTGCCTTCACTAATTCTTCTATGTCTTTTTCTGTTACAATCCCCACCCTGTAAAGTTTTATACAGAAAGGTCTACACAGATTTAGCTGGGAACTGTTCACGCTCCACCCACAAACAAACTTGTCTTTCAAAATAAGCTAAGATCTGCAGGCAAATTAGCAAGAAAACAGACGAAAAGTGTGCCTGCAAATTGGTTTGCACAAGCAGACACAGCTCTTATTCATCAACTGAGTACAGGACGTATACTGTCATCACTATACTGAGAGGGCCTTCTCAGTTAAAACAGAGTGCAAGACAGCTCTGCACAAGTGATTTGACCTTGCATTTAGCCAAGACATAGGGCTGTGAAATGGAGACACAGAGTCTGAGAGGCAACCAGCCACATGGCACTTGAGTTTCTCTGACTAGATGCCTGCCAGACCCACCTCGCCTCCCTCTCACAACCTCTCCTCAACAGGACAGGGGACAAAATAAGACAAAAAAGCTGGTGGGTTGAGATAAAGAGAGGGAGATCACTTATCAATTACTGTCATTGGCAAAACACACTTGACTTGGGGAAAATTTAATTTATTGCCAATTAAAATAATTTGTATTGCGAGAAACAAAGATAAATTACAACAACTCCTTGCCCTCACCTCATCCCATCACTTTTTCCTAGGCTCAACTTCACTCCTCCATTCCTGACTACCTCCTTCCCCCTTACCCAGAGCCAGGCAGGGGAATGGGGGTTGTGGTCAGTCCATAACAGCTCCTATCTGCTGCTCCTTTCTCCTCACACTTTTCCCCCACGGCAGCACAGGTCTTCCCCATGGGCCATAGATCCTGTCAGGAGAACCTGCTCCTCCACAGGCTCTTCTCCACAGGCCACAATATTCCTCAGGGAATACCCACCTTCCCCACCACGGTCTCTCCACAGGCTGAGGGCAATTCCTTTTCCCTCACTTTTTCCCTCACTGCCTACACAGCCTTTTCCCCTTTTACAAATGCCTTCTCCCAGGGGCACCGCCAGCTTTGCTGAGGGGCTCGGTGGTGCCCTGTGGTGGGGCCATTGCAGAGCCGGCTGGAACCGGCTGTGACCGGCCGGGGGCCGCCCTGGGTCTCTCCTCACAGAGGCCCCCACAGCCCCTCACGGCCAGGGCCTGGCGATCTGCACCCAAAACGCTGCCCTTTTAAATGAAAACCCAAACCGTCTCAAATCACACAGTTTTTTAGGCTAGAAGGAGCCCCAGCAAGAAGACAACCAGACCTTAAATGATGTGATAAAAAACTAAGAGACAGAGTTCAGCGCAGGTTATTCACAGCCATTTTGGCAGCACGCAACCAGCGTCAAACCAGCCTGTGACAGGGAGGTCGTGCCCAAGGGAAGCGTTATCACAGAATCTAGGTGTCTCTAAAATAAAAGAATTCAAATCCATGGGTCTTTCTGGATAGGAATTGGATGCCATCATGGCAGTGACCAACTTGTGCCCTTCTCACCCAGCCTACAAGGAAATCATTGCCCACAGACCTGGCCTGTCTAAGCTCTTCAGACCGGCTTCCATCGACACATGAGCTAACAGCGCCAAGCATGGTGCCTGAGATAATTGGTACCAAGGGAGGAGGAATGGGACTTCCTAGAGCAGATGTTCTCAAGGTTTCCTGCTGCATGGACAGCAGGCATTAACAGAGAGACTGACTCACAGACACCTCCCTTCCCACTCGCAATACCGTGGGCCACCCTCCCTCAAGCCTGCAATTGCATCACACCCTTGAGGCTGCCGCGACCACTTCCAACAGGGGAAAAAAGTAAAAATATTTGGGGTATTTTAGAACCTTTTAATAAAATAAGGCAGCTGGGAACACAAGCGTCAGCTACATGAAACCCGTGGAACAAAATGCAAAGGACATCACAGTGCCAGAAAGCATCTTGGCTGGAACAGCAACGGAGGTTTTTGGTCACTGGACTGAAGGGAAGGGATGTGAAAAGTTGTCAATGTGGCTGAAGAGTGGTCGTGAGCACTGGTTGCCCTGTTGCAGGTGAACTTCTATGTTGTATTGACTTCTATTCTGTGAGGAGTCGTCAGAAGCAGAGAG